GATTTTTGCGCCGAAAGTAAAACCTCAAATAAAAAAAAAAAAAAAAAAAAAAAAAAACCGCAAAAAAGAAAAAAAAAAAAAAAAAAAAAAAAAAAAAAAAAAAAAAAAAAAAAAAATATTAATACTATGAAAATCATCAATATTGAGAAAGATATTAATATTGAAAAAACAATCAATAAAACTTATAATGATATAAATTTGTTTTATGATTCAGAGTTGGATGAAGCAAATAATAGTTTAAATAAATTGTAGGAATATTTAGAAAATAGTAACGAAGATACAGAGTTGGATGAAGCAAATAATAGTTTAAATAAATTGTGGGAAGATTCAGAAAATAGTAATAAAGATATAGATTATTTAGTTAGTGATATTTAAAAGGATATATTTTATGAAGAAATATTATCAAATTTATATTTTATTTTATTATTTTTTATTTTTTTTTATTTGTATTTAAATATATATAGTTGATAAAATCTAGAATTATATATAACAACATATTTTAGTTTTTTTAAAATATTATTAAATAACTACTTTAGCTTTTTAATAATAAATTGAACATTATTTGATTTTTAAACTGTTATTTTAATATTAAAGAACATGTATACAGAATAGGTTTATCACTTATATACAAATCTTATATATAATATTAGTGTACTAACTTAGGGTGCTCTCAAGCATCTTCCTAAGTATAGTTAGATAGTGATTAAGATAATGCACAATCGTTATAATCAATGAATGCAAAGATAATGATTCAATCTTAAAAAAAAAAAAAAAGATTTGATTATAGAAAAAAAATAATGTTTGATCTCTAATATATTATCAAAAAATAAAATATATATTTTTATTGTATTATGTATTATATTAGTATATTTTAAATTTGATTGGATTGTTTTTTAACTTACAAACTTACCATACATTATAAATTTTGGATATAACTTACATGTAACTTACATGTAAGGTAAGTATATAAGTTACAACTTTTACAACCCTACACACAAGCCCAAATAGCAGTACCTTTAAAATAAAAGAATTGAAGATGTTAGTGTTGATATTTCTCAGTAAAATAATGACATAATACTAGCCTAAGCTAGTAGAAAACTTATCTAAGACTCAACAATGTTACAATGGAACTTAAAAAGCTCTAAAACTCAGACCAAGTTTTTCTATGCCTCTTTTTGAAGCCTTTTGCTTTAGAGCTTCAGTCTTATTATTTAGTAATTTAAAAATAGATTTAAAACCAAAATTTATAGAATTTTAAAAACTATGATTTTGTTTTTAGAAGTATATTACTTAAAATTTGGAAGTTATTTATTTTGATAATAAAAATATAGCATAGCAGAAATTCAGTTTGATTGGTTGTTAAGATACCCCAGAAAAAATGTTGACTATACCCTGGATAAAGTACTTCCAGACAAAAATTTTATAACTTGCAAACTTTTAAAAAATAAGTTAATACACTCCAAAGACATATTAAAATTTACAATATACTAATTTAGTTTTGTATTAACAACTTTAATTTAAATTTTATAAGGGTTTTATTATTTTTTCTGCAATAAATATCTACTAAATAACACATACACAACTATTTCTAACACACCATTACTATCACTTATATATTATAAACAAACTATACTTGTTTCTATAATCAAAAATACTAAAAATACAATTTAAAATAATAGTTCAAAATAATGCTTTTACTTGTAAAAACACAAACAAACTAGTTGAAGAAGTATTTTTCAATTTCAACTCACCAATTGTTTAAACCACTAAACTACCTTCCAACCTTTCAAAATATTCATCTCTTATCTAGTTTTTGAAGCTACTACATTTTATTGTATCTTAGATTAAAAAACAATAAGTAAACTACCAAATGACTTAAATTACTTGTAATGTTTTGTATTACAAAAAAAGTTTTATATAACACAATGATTTTTTACTATTAAAATATTTTAAAAATTACAATTGACTATCTAAAAAAAAGGTTATTGCCAATTATATTTATCCTAATAACAGCAAATTAAAACAAACTTCTGCTATGTTATAAAAGTATTAACTTTAATACTATATTGGCATGTAATAAAAAAATTTATATTATTTGTTCAACAACTATTTTTTCAATAATATAGTCAAACCTCCCTATAATCACACACTCAGGATACAAAAAAATGTGATTATAAAGAAGTGTGACAATTATAGAGGTTAAATATATAATATTTAATAATGGTTTGTTTTTAAAAAAACATGCTTATATAGAAAATGTGTTTATATAGTAGGTGACTATAGAGAGGTCTAACTGTATTTTCAAAAATATTGTTGGGAAATGGTTGTCAAACAAATTGTTGTTAGGCAAATAATATGAATTCCTTAATATATAAGTAGAGTATATTATAGTATTTTGAAAGTGTTTAAGATTAACAAAGCTATAAAATTTGGTATTAAAGGTGAAACTGTTTTAACAATAAAGAACATTACTATTGTTCTTTTTTAAAATACAATTTAGCACAAAATATACAAAAGTTTTTCATTTAAATAATTTTTACATGTTTATTAAAATATATTATATTTATTTGATATTTATTATAATCCTTTTAAGTTAAATAATTTTTGTACTTGTATTACATATGTTAAACTTTGACAAGTTGCTATCATTCTAACTTATAAAAGTTTTGAAATATAACCAATAAGACCATTTGAAGTTATAATAGATCTTATTTAGTATAGGTAGGAATATATAAATATTATAAGATTATTTAATACAGTCTAACCTTTCTATAGTCATGCTTTCGGTTTCAAGAAATTTTGTGCTTATAAGAAATTGTGCCTGTATAATTGCTTATATTTTATATAAGTTTGTTCTAAAAATTAGTATGCTTATAAAGAGGGTGTAACTATATAAGTGTGACTGTATAGAGGTCAGACTATATAAAAAAACTTTAACTCTAACCCAAAGCTAACTATAAACTATACTATAACTCTCACCCTGTTTTGATTAGTTCAAATAATTATTTTTATATTAAATAATCTTATAATAGTTATATATTCTTACTTATACTAAATATCAACCGTTATAATTTTATTTAATGTTTATTTCAAAGTAGAAGGGGAGAGTCAAATTAAAAAAACATTATATAAAGTGTCATTAATCAAAATGTAGCTTATTGAGATTGATCATTTTTTTAAAATTGTTATACAAAATAATAAAAAATTAGAAGATAATTAATTGTAACATGTTACTTGTAACAATCTACTTAGTATAGCAAATAAAAATATATATTATCTAAATTTTAAATTTATTATTAGCAAACTGTAAAGTTGTTATAATATATATATAAGTTTTTATATACAAATATTAATTTTTTCTTAATATTTATTATGTTTATTTATATTAACTGTGTTAGATTAAAATGAAAATTTCTATTTTTTAAGGAAAATTTAAATTTTTTAGTAATATTTTTTAGGTTTTTTTAGCATTAGGGTTAGAGTTATAAATAAATGAGTATATATAGATTTTATAAGCTTTAAAGGTAAGAAAGAGAGATTACCAGTTTCATTTTAATCTGAGTTTATTTTAATCTGCAATATTAATTGATATATGAAAGTAATAGATTTATTAACAGTAATTGTAAGATAAATAAAAATAATTGTATGATAAAATGATTTAATAAAAGCAAAGGTGGGAGTTATTTTTCTCTCAGAGCTCAAAGGCCTTCATTTATAATTAATTCTTTATTTACTTTGTGCATGGATTATCTTTTCTTTATTCACTATACTTTAATTGATTGTTTATCTCTGTATATAATATTTTTTATTCAACATTTGCAAGAATATAGCTTTATAATTTATAAGACCTTTGATTGAAGATTAGAGACCTTATACATATTACAAAAAGATATACAAAGTCAATGATATGAATCTTTGAACTCTTATTTTTACTAAATATATATTTCAAATCAGGTTTATATCAGTATTACATAATGCTAGTTAAAATTTGATTTGCTTTAATAAATTATTTAGACAGAAAAATATTATAAAAAAAGTTTATTAAAATAAAACTTATATGCTTGAAGGTTTTCATTTCACTTAATATATTCGAATAGCTATGCATCTGCCTCGGATATTTCAATATCTTTAACTTGGGTTGTTGCAATTAAAGCCTGATTTTTCAACAATCTGATTTTTTCAATGCTTGTGGCAATTGCTTTAATAATATCATTTTTATCTACCATATTATTGTTATGGATTTAACAAATACCTAAAAAAATTTTATTTACAATCAATTTCTGACAGCTAATTCACTGACACTTCAATTTCTTTAGTATTCTATTTTCTAAAATAATAAAGATGTTGGGAAGTTGGCAAAAAAAAAATACCAGAGAAATGATATTAAACCAAATTAATAATAAATGCCTGTTGTTATTGGTTCTGAGATGTGCATTTTTGGCCTCTAATTCCAAAACTCTTTGTTAGAAGATTTGTTGATTTGGTTTTTTCTATTATTTGTGTTGTTTTGCAGTGCTTAAACTTGTGAAACAACTTCTTAATTATATTAAATTTTTGTATAAATAAATATTAAATAATTTTTTATATGTATATTTAATTTAATATAATATCTTGAAGCAACTACAAAGGTGGTTAAGAAAGAGGAATTCAGAACAAAAGATGATTTATCAATCTAGTATATACAATAATACAACTATTATTTTCACAGAAACTTCTATAATAAGAATATAAAAATCAAATCACTTTAAAAATATATATATCTTTTCTAGATATTTAAAAGTTGTAAGTGCAGATAAATGCTGTGAAGATAATAAAATGCTGTAAAAGATAAAAGACTGTAAGAAATTTCAATTAATGATTTAATTAAATTTAGTACATTATAGATATCTAGATAACCCTATAGATAACTGGATAGCTCTCAAGATACCTAACCCAGGAAGTTATGAGGTTGAATATATTGTATGTAGTATTAAAACTTGGCCAAGGTTTAGTTCATTTTTTCTACATCATATATAGATCCCTTGTATATTTTTTTAAAACTTTGAGTAAAGCTTTTGTAACAACAACCTAATAAATTTTTTATTTGAACTTCACAAGTTTGTAAAATTTAAAGAAAAATTTTATAGAAATTTATTGGTAAGTTTTAAAAAATTTAGGTGAAACTTGTATATTGATAGACATTATATTATGACTTTCAAAACTTTAAGCAAAGCTTTCTCCACAACCACCTGATAAATGTCAATAAAATTTTTATCCAAATTCTACAAGTTTGTAAAATTTAGATAAAAAAAAAATTCATTAAAATTCTTCAGGCAGTTGTTAAGAAAACTTAGTTCAAATTTTTAAAAATTTAGACAAAACCTTGTTTCAAAATTTTGAGTGAAGTTTTCTTGACAACTACTTGATAAATTTTAATAAATTTTTTTTATTTGAGTTCTATCTGTATATATTTTCTGCCTAAATTTTTTAAAAACTGAATTAAGTTTTTTCAACAATTATTTGATAAATTTCAATGAAATTTTTTTATCTGAATTCTACAAAATCCTTAGAATTATATAAAAAAAAATTTTTATCAAAATTTATTAAATAAGCTTTACTCAAAGTTTTGTAAAATTTTCATTCCATTTATCAATAAACAAATCTAATCTAAATTTTTAAATCTTTGAATTAAGTTTTCTCAACAACTACCTAATAAATTTCAATGAATTTTTTTATTTTAAATTTGGAAACTTTAGAATTCAAATAAAAAAATTTATTAAAATTTGTGGGTCCATATCATTTCCTCAATCTTCACTTTCCTGACACCTTTATTTCTCTAACATCTTTATTTTCCTGATATTTTCGCTTCCCCAAACATATAAGTTTCCTCAACATATTTTTTCCCTGATTTTTCTCCAACTTATTTACTTTCCCAAAATATCCACTTTCCAACATATCCGCTTTCCCAACATACATATTATCCCTTTCCTGACATATCCCCTTCCCCGACATATTTTTCTTCCCCTTCCACTACATATTCTTCTTTTCTTATTTTTTATTTATTTATTCTTTTATTTTTTATTTTTTTAAATTTGATTTTTTTTAGCTTATTGCTTATTTTAACTTGTTTTTCTTTTATTTATTTAATTTTTAACTTATCTTTTTTATTTTATTTTTATTGTTTTCTTTTTTTATTTAATTTTTATTTTTTTTTTATTGTTTTCTTTTTTTATTTAATTTTTGGTTTATTTTTATTATTTTCTTTTTTTATTTAATTTATTGTTTTCTTCTTTTATTAATTTTAATTTTTAACTTAGCACTTTTTTTTTTGAAGTTTTTTTTTTTTAATTGGCTTGAGTTTTTTAATTTTATTTTATTTATTTATTTACTTTTTTATATTTTTTAAAAATTTTTTTTGAAGTTTTTTTTTAATTGGCTTGGATTTTTTAATTTTATTTTATTTATTTATATATTTATATACGTGATAAATGTGTATGTGTGTCGCCAAGAGAAAATAGAATTTCGGCTTCGAGTTTTCATTTATTATTTACCTGATTCAGCCCTGGAGGTATCAAAATTCAAAAGATATGGAACAAGCTGATGGAGCATATAATCTTGGACGTTGTTATGAAAATGGTATGAGAATTGAAAAAAAATATAAATGAGGCGTTCAAATATTATCAAAAATCTGCAGATATGAGACATACTGATGGAATATATGCTATCGATATGGAATAGGAATTGAAAAAGATATAAAGAAGGCGTTTGAATATTATCAAAAGTCTGCATATGTGGAGCATGCAGATGGAATATATATTGTCGGGCATTGTTATGAAAATGGAATAGGAGTTGAAAAAAGATATAACGAAACTCTGCAGATATGGAACATGTAGATGGAATATATAATCTTGGACGTTGTTATCAGAACGAAATTGGAACTGAAAAGAACGAATATAAGGCATTTAATTATTATCAAAAATCTGGACATGCTAATGGACTATATAATGTTGGACATTATTACCAGAATGGAATTGAGACTTATAAGAATAAACATGAGGCATTCAAATATTATAAATTATCAGCAGATATGGGAGATGCTGATGGAATAAATCAAGTAAGATGTTGTTAAATTAAGGGATTGGAGTTAAAAAAGATGAATATGAGGCTTTCATTTATTATCAAAAACATGACTGTAACGAAATGCAATTGGAACATATAGTATAATCTTGGGCGTTGCTATGAAAATGGAATACAGTAGGAATAAAAAAAGATATAATGAAGGTTGTTATGAAATTGGACTAAGAGTTGAAAAAGAAATTAATGAGGCATTCAAATATTATCATAAATCTGCAGATATTGGACGGAATAGGTGTTGAAAAAAACATAAAGGAGGCAGAAGTCACTATAAAGAGTCTTAATATGCTAAATTTAAAAAATCTAGACTTTTTAGCGTAACTTCAATTTTCAAATAGTAGCTAGTTAATTATTCGTACCGTTACAGCAGAAGAATATACATATTTAAACAAGAAAGACTGAATTAATTTAGGAACACAATTTACCATTTGAAACTTTTTCTGAAATAACTGTGAAGAAACCGAAGCAGTGGCCGAAAATCGAATTGAAACACTAAGAAATGTTCTTGTAAAAAAAACAAATTCATTATGTTCAAGAAAACATGAATGTATTTATTCGGTGAATGCAAAATTTCTAATTACGTTTGTGAATATTCGAATATATTCGTTTGATTATGCATGTAATAAAATCATGTTCGCTTTTTTTTTTTTAAAAAAAAAGTAATTTTTTGTTATGTAATACAGTGAAATTTTTTAATTTATTTTATCAACAAATTTTTTTAAAATTTTCTTTCGTTTTTTATTTTTATTTTTTTTATATTTTATGAATTCATTTTATTTCCTTTTTAGCGTAAATTATACGTAGTAAACGGATAATTTCTTAATTGATGAATAACACTTGTCATTTAATACTTGACAATTAATACTTGACATATAATTGAAAAGTGTTGAAAAGTCATATTTCTTCGTTGCTTAAGAATGAGGACGAGGTTTTTCTCACCTTTACTGTAAATTGATTGTTTTTCCCATTACGATTTATCCGTAAATTTCTGTACTTATTAACGTTAAGAATTCTTTGATATCTTAACTGTATCTATTACGTACATGTTACTATATATATACCGATATGCTGGATCATCATCCACCGTAGTTAATTTAAATCAGGTTATCCTGTCATTGTTCACTTTTTAGTTGTGAGAATTTTTGGCTGCTTACCCGCTATGGATTGTCAAACCTTTTAATCAGGAAATTGATAGAATCCGAATGACAGCCGTTGGTGAATCTAAATAAAGTTTTTATCTATAAAAGTTAAAAACCAAGAATAAAACGGGAATAAAATCAAGTCTTCAAGATTATACGGAGTTTTGATACATTAAGATTTTCTAAAGTATAAATTTGAGTCACTGTCTTTCCGTAAGTTTTTTCACCATCAAAATTAATTATCTATCATGAATTCTTTACATCATATTTCGTTAGATGATATAAGAGCGGTCGTTGCAATTGGTATTTTACTGATATTAATTCAATACTTTATTAGATTTATATATTAAAATATATAATATTGTTTATGAAATAAAGATTTTGGTACGACTTACAGCGGCTTCGCTTACGCAAATACGATTTCTTCCAAAAATAAGAAGTCTCCCGAAATCGAATTAAATACGACATGGTAATCTTAAAACTATTAATATCCGTCACAAATATCATAATTTCCTATAATTACAAAATTAAACAATATTTTCTCGTAATTTAGGCCTGGTAGTGAGGAAATAAAAACAAATACAGTATTGTTATATGATAATGGTTGTAGGAAAGTATTAAAATGGGGTAAACCAGCATTAACTTACGAGAAAAAAAAGATCAAGAATAGTATCAAGGAATTGGGTTCACCACTTCCATCGCCACACCCGCACGTAGTTGAAAGATTTAAATTATATCTAGACGATAAAATTGGTACTATTGAAAAACCATTGTTACCGCCAAATTTAAATTACAAAAAAGCCATTATTGATTATTTAAGGAAGATGAAAGAAGTGAGTATTTGTAAGTTTAAGATCACTTGATATTAATAATTTACGATTAAGTACTGCACTATAGATCATAGAAGAAACGCTCGATAAACGTTGGCCGGATCTAAAACTAACACAAGTATTATTCGTTTTATGTGTTCCTGCAGAATGGGTAAGTTGCCAGCTTGTCACAAAATTCAGAAAGTAAGGGGATCGTTTAAAAGTACTCAAGCTTTTTATTTTAATATTAGGGACCACACACTAAAGCAATAATGCGTGACTGCGCATACAAGGCTGAATTGTAATTAAATAATTTTCATCATAGTTTCGGAATTTAATTATTAAATATCTAAACTTGTAATCTTATTATCACTTACAATTAATTGCAGATTAAACGAATCTATCGAATCTCACCTGGAATTTACGACAGAACGTAATTATTTTTATTTTGTACATTTGTTTAACAGTATGATGAATTTATCCGAATCTCCATTATTAATAATAACAGCCGAAGCTGCGGCACTTCATTGCTTGTCGAATATTCAGGAACATGGATTAACAGTGGGAGGTTAGTAGTCAAAGCAGCATTTAGATATACTATTAATATCTTGTTTGATAATATTTATGTTTTGAAAAAAATCGAAATATTTGTTTTGATCGATCTTAAAAAAATGTAACAGACTTGATAATATTACATCTTAAAATAACTACTGTAGCTGATGCAATAACTTGATTAAGCTGAAACTAGCAAACGAGTGGTTTATCAATAATATGCATTATTTTTTGTTTTAACTAAAATTTTTTACATTAATTTTTATAGATACATTCCTTGTGGTTGATTCCGGAGGTGGAACGGTGGATCTCACAATGAGAACGATACAGATGGGTAATAAACTAAAAGAGGAAACAGAAAGAACCGGTGATTTATGCGGTGGCACGTTTGTCGACCAAGAATTCATAAACTTCATTGGTCGCACAGTAGGGTTTAATGCTTTACAAAAGTTCCGAACATATGCTTATGGAGAGTTACAAAAACTTGTTCATACCTTTTTTTGTAAGAAAATAAAGCATGATTTCACCGGAGATCCCGACAAATTTGAATTTATTGAATTGGACCTCGAATATGCATGCCCATCATTGATTAAATATATCACTGGAGCCGAAAGAATTAGCTTAGAAAATAGTGAATTGGGTGAATGGGTTATCAGATTTGATTTCGCGACTGTGAAGAAAATGTTTGATCCAGCGATAGAAAAAATTATCAGGTTAATTACTAAACAACTAGAACAATTGTCAAAACTTCCTATCAAACGCAAATGTAAAGCTATGTTCTTGGTAGGAGGATTTAGTGAATCAAAATATTTGATAAAAAGAGTTAGAGAAAGATTCCAAAGACGTGTGCCTTATATTGCATCCCCTCGACAACCACAAGCAGCTATTGTTAAAGGTGCAGTAGCGTACGGACTAAATATGGATCTTGTTGAAAGTCGAGTCTTGAAATGGACGTACGGAGTTCAGGTAAATGCAAATTTTGACGCTTGTAATGATCCACTTGGACTTCGGTAAGTTATATTCTATAATGAATAATTAATAATTCATAAATTTATAGCAATTAATTACGTTTTACTGTTATTATATTTTAGAACAAGGGATAATAAGATTTGGAAGTTTGATATTTTAGCGAAAAAGGGAACAAACGTTTCTGTTAATCAGACATTTTGTAAAGAATATAAACCATTAAATCCGAACCAGGCAATGGCAGAATTTAGAGTATACATTACAGCAGCATATCAACCTGAATACATTAATAATGTTGAAATGCGATTACTTGGTACCCTAAAAATCTCATTATCCAAAAGGCCAACATTAGGTCGAGAACGTCCTGTGGAATTTGGATTAACTTTTGGCATGATGGAAATAAAAGCCACTGCCAGAAACAAGTTAACAAACGAAGAATATCCTACAACTTTTGAATTGGATATTAGCAACTAATTATTCATATTTTTTGAAATCATTTTTTAAATCAATTTTTGTAATATTCATATTTATTATTTCAATAAATCATCAATTTATGTTTTTGAAATGTAATTTTAACACTGTCGTTATAAAAGTGCAATACCACATCCTGTTACTTTCAGAGCAAGCAAAAATATACGCAGATGCATGTATAATAAACCTGCTTATGTTTTATTTTATCCTTGATGCAAAATGTTTAGTGTTATGATTAGGTATTAGGTTGAACCAGATATAGATAGATGTTAAGGTTTATAGTGTATTTGTGCCGATAGACTTTGATTTGTGGTTTTAGCATCCTTGTGAACAGCTGCATTTTCTATTTTAACTAAAAGGATCACTAAAACAAAGGAAATCATCTATCAAGGAAATGTTATTTACGTTTGTTACAGTGATGCATGGTATGTTACTTTACGTTACACTCTAGGTCTAAAAACAGTTTATTAAAATTGATTTAGTAGTTGTCAAAATATCATCACTCAATGTTTAAAAAATTCAAATATCAATTTTTTTTTTAATTTAATAAATTAATTTTAATCTTTTTAATACATCTTAATTTTAAATATTTTAAACATTTATAGTTTGTATCTATTTGGCAGATTTTTAAGTTACACAAAATTTAAAGTACGCCTACTTGGCACTCCGAAGTGAATAAGATTATCGGAGAAGTAGCCGTTAGTAAAAAAAATATTAAGAATTACATAATACCAAAAATAATAGATAACTATTAGTAATAATTTAATTTCAAACTACATTAATTACAGATTTATATTATTAATAAAAATAAACTTTTATATTACATAATTAAATTATTAAATAATTATTTATTAATAGTCACTAACTATTATATCTAATATAAAATTAAGATATAGCAAATACTGTATATATATTTAATTAACAATTTTATCTTTTAATATTTTATATAAATAAGTATTTAGACAATGCCCAAAAAATTTGGTGTGCCACAGGGCATGCCTTTTGTTAAATTTATGCCATAAAATATTATATATTATTTATAATATCATATATATACAGTCACCTACCATATTATTGTGGACACTTTTTAAAAATTTACACAGAGCTAAATATGTAAGATATTAAGCTAAAAGTTAAAATATAAATTCTTTAAATCTACATCCTTTAAATAAAAAAAGTTTAAAAAATTCTATGCAGTACTTTTTGAGATAATTAAGGTTATACAAAATTGTGTAATATTATACAAAACCAAAATTAGTAATTTTCATAATTAAAAAAATGCATAAGCTTAAATTTTTAAGTATTTAACTAGGGAATTGCTATTCATACCCTGTTTTTGCTATTCATACCCCCCAGATATCAAAAAGTGCTTCAAAATAGATATTTTTATCAAGTAAATCTTCTTTTGATCTTAATAAACAATGCTGATCTTTTGGAGAGGGTAAGCCAAAAGCCCACTTTTATCAAAAATTTTTGGTGAAGTTAGCAAAAAGTGGGAGAGAGAAAGAAAACTTGAAGATACTTAAAGAAGTGTGAGTTTTTTCTTTACTAAGGTCAACCTCCACTGGAGCCTGCACAGTATTCATTTTTTTGGTGAGTAATAAACTCTGAACTTGTTGGCAGGTAGCATATGAGAACTACCTCTAAACAACAAGTGCCGTACTTGCGGTGAGTAATAAACTCTAAGCTTGTAGACAGGTAGCATATGAGAACTACCTCTAAACAATAAGTGCTGACTTATAGCCCTTTTCCCATAACTTACGTTAGAACTCTTTTGAGTTTTATACTAGTATATAGTTTTTTCCTTAATAAATAGTTTTTTAGAAATTGTGGTCCAAGTGATTGTCAGAAAGAGTTCCAGTAAATTAGTTCAGTGAATATCATCTGAAATCGAATAACTTTCAAATTTTTGTCTTTACTAGCAACTGGCAAATTTAATCAAATATAATCAAAACTTTTACTAATACCACATTAATGCTAACAACATTATAGTATATAGCTTAAATAGGTTTATAGCTTCTTTTTTAAGAGTTTTTTTTAAATATTTTTTTTCAAAGTGATTACTATATAAACTACTGCACTTATAGCAAATTTTATCAAGCATTCTTAAATACCTTGCTTAATAAATATCATGGATGATCATGAAATCAGAGTAAAATTTGGGTCTCTCTTTGAAAATATAAACCCAACTAAAATCTTTCTAAGCAACTCTAATACTAAATTCTAGCCTATTACTAAAAAAGAGCTAGAATAATATACTTAAAAAATTTCAAGATTTTATATTAAATTAGGACCAAATTTTATTATCATCCATTTATAAAATAAATCTAAAGCAAAATTTAAAAAAGTTGATATTCGAATAAATAAAATAAATATATGGAGTTAAGTCAATAGAAATCAAGCAAATATTTTTTAATAAGTTTTTTTAAAACTTTAAACAAGGATAACTTAACAAAAACTTAATTAAATTTAATAAAACCTTTTTTAAATTAATTTTACAAGTTTATAAAAATTATTTAAAAAAAGTTTTATTAAATTTGGTTAAGTTTTTATTGAGTTATTCTTGTTTAAAGTTATAAAAAAATTTTATTATAAAAAATTTGCTTGATTTCTATTGACTTACCCCTATATAGATAAATTATTATTCTAGTACTAATAAATAAAATCAAAATATATACATAGAGTGTATACTATCTTTTTTCTTCATATAGTTGTCATCTTTTTTTTTTGTAGAATTACTTTAATTGGCTAAATTAAAATTAAAATTTCATACTTAGCATATTGTTATTAAAAAAAATTCAATTATTGCTACAATTAATAGCAAGTAACTATGATAATTAATTAATACTTTGACTACTTGCAAATCATATTTATGAAGCTACTTAAGAACACTCTTAACAATTACTAGTAAATACTTTTTTTCATACTTGCAATTTTTTATTATATCATAAATAATATTTTTTCTAAGTTTAAATAAATACAGATCCTTCTTCTTAGTCTTGTAAGTACTTATATCAGCTCAATAAATAGTCATTATAGTAACTGCTTTGAAAAAAAATATTTTTAAAAAAAAACTCTCAAAGAAGAAACTATAAATCTATTTAAGCTATATACTATAATATTATTAGCATAAATATGGCATTAGTAAAGGTCTTCCAGGAATCTGATTATATCTGATTAAATCTGCTAGCTGCTAGTAAGGCCAAAGACTAATATCTTAGCTAAAACCTTAAAAAATTTAACAATACAATTATTATATTATTATTATATGATGGCAGCTGTTATATGTACCCCCCAAATTTGTTATCTGTACCCCCCTGTAAAATAACACTTTTTTAAAACTTTGTATGAAGATATCTCAACAACCACAAAGTCAAATTCAAAAAATTCTTTTTAGTTGCATTCTACAGATTTGTAGAATTCAAATAAAAAAAATCCATCAAATTTGACTTGGTGGGTGTCGAGATATCTTCGCTCAAAGTTTGAAAAAATTTTGGCGCAGCTTTGTTTTAGAATATATTTTAAGTTTTCTTAACTTTGAGCAAAGATATCTTGTCTCCCACCAAGTCAAATTCGATAAATTTTTTTTTATTCGAATTTTACGAATCTGTAGAATACAAATAAAAAAACTTTCATTGGATTTAACTTGGTGGTTAATGAGATATCTTCACTCAAAGATTTAAAAAACTCAAAATATTTATTAAAATAAAGCTGCGCCAAAATTTTTTAAACCTTTAAGCAAAAATATCTCGACAACCACCAAGTCAAATTCGATAAATGTTGTTTTATTTGAATTCTACGAATCTGTAGAATGTAAATAAAAAAAAATTTATCGAATTTCACTTGGTGGTTGTCGAGATATTTTCGCTCAAAGGTTTAAAAAAAATTTTGTCGCAGCTTTGTTTTGATAAACGTTTTGTGTTTTTTTTAAACCTTTGAGAGAAGATATCTCATTAACTACCAAGTCAAATTCGATGAAAGATTTTTTATTTGCAGTCTACAGATTCGTAGAATTCGAATAAAAAAAAATTTATCAAATTTGACCTGGTGGTTGACGAGATATCTTCGCTCAAAAATTTAAAAAAACTTAAAACATCTCAAAATAAAGCCGTGACAAAATTTTTTTTAAACCTTTGAGCGAAAATATCTCGACAACTACCAAGTGAAATTCGATGAATTTTTTTTTTATTTACATTCTACAAATTTGTAGAATTCAAATAAAACAACATTCATCGAATTTGACTTGGTGGTTGTCGAGATATTTTCACTTAAAGGTTTAAAAAATTTTGGCGCAGCTTTATTTTGATAGATGTTTTGAGTTTTTTTAAATCTTTGAGCGAAGATATCTCATTAACCACCAAGTCAAATCCGATAAAAGTTTTTTTATTTGTATTCTACAGATTCGTAAAATTCGAATAAAAAAAATTTATCGAATTTGACTTGGTGGGAGACAAGATACCTTTGCTCAAAGCTAAGAAAACTCAAAATGTATTCTAAAACAAAGCTGTGCCAAAATTTTTTCAAACTTTGAGTGAAGATATCTTGACACCCACAAAGTCAAATTTGATAGATTTTTTTTTATTTGAATTCTACAAATCTGTAGAATACATCTAAAAAGAATTTTTTGAATTTGACTTTGTGGTTGTTGAGATATCTTCGTACAAAGTTTTAAAAAAGTGTTATTTTACAGGGGTACAAATAACAAATTTGGGGGGTACGTATAACAGCCGCTATTAAATATTGGGTTTTATAATATTAATGGGATAAAAAACAATAAAAACAAGCTAAAGGCAGTAATAGATTTTGCAGAAGAAAAGAAATTAGATATTTTGGGTTTAGGAGAAACCAATATCAATAATACAGAAGGCACTTTTGTAACGAGAGATACAAAGATATATAAAAGTTTTTGGGCAAGCTCTGAAAAGGGCAAGAAAAAAGAATCAGGCCTAGGGGTACTGATCAAGAAACATTGGAAACAACATATTACACATATGTCAAAGAAC